TATTACTATTTACACTTAATCTACAAGTATACTGCAAGCATGTATTTCAACTATACAATTACTTTAAATGCCAAAAATACTTGTTACAACACAAAGATCACTTCCTATAAACTACAAGATAAAGCTTATGATGTTAACTTAAACGGAGCAGTAATCGCACTTTAAACTTTAAACTGGACATAAACATTAGGTACCTTATGCCCTGAAATTGAATACACATTATAATTCATCAACAATACAAATATACTCTAGTTATGATATTTTACCTTTAACTTAGATGATAAGACACTCTACACCTAATTTCCTGAGACATTTGCTCCTTAGGTTCTCCAGATAAGGATTACAGGGAATGTTTATCAAATAAATGCTATATAAGAATTTACGTTAAACATAACAGATAATTGCAGTTAAGTTTATTTTTAGAAATCTTAACTACAAACTTAGTACATTTACGAGCTCGGTTCAGCTTAGATTGACATTTATTTCAGTTAATGGGAATACAATCTTGGTGGATATTGTGGACCTCCAATATATTAACTATAATATTAGGACATTGCTTCCGCTGATGTTGTAACTTTAATTGAATCAGAAAACAAAATTTAAATATATTCCTTAAACTCTAGCCAAGCAGGAAAGCATTATCTGAATTTAACTGGCTATCTCTAGCCTTATAAAATAATCAAGAAATCGGATTATGCTTTATTTGAGGTTGTTGTAACATTACCAGTAATAAAATATGATGATTCCTTGAATTGTTCTTCTGCTGTTATTAAATATCCACCAGCTTTGCCCTCAATAAAATTCATTATTAGATAGGATATTGAAAATTAAAAACTAAAATATACTATTTCAGAGTGGACAGCTAACCCTATCAAGTGCAAATTTGTAGAATATCAAGCCTCAGTCTAAGGTCGCAAGCTACCTTTTAATGGATTGGACATTTCAAGTCGTTCAAGGACTATCTCTTTAGATGCCATTGAAGCTATTGAAAACAGCTTTTTTGGAAGATATTAACTAGAGATAAAAGGTATTCTTAAAAATCAAAAAGCATATGCTTTTTAAGTTCCTCTATCAATCATGTATCAACCTATTAGCTAAGATAATGAAGCTTTACTAGATGATGAGCAGTTATAAATTTAGCTAGATATTTTTTAAGAAAGTCTAGATGATATAACACTTTAAGGTATGAAAATAAAAAAGAAAAATCTTAAATAGCAATTAAGTGCCTAAATAGTTTAAATAGACATGTCTGGACTAGTAACTATTTAATTTAATGAAAATCTTGTGGCAATAAAAAAATTGGAATACTTTAAAAAGGCGAGAGCTCTTTATATAAATTTTAAGGATAATACAAATGATAATTAAACCCAAAAAATAGCAACAAATTCTTCTAGCAATTTTATTAAGAACTGGACAGTCATTTCAATGGTAAAAAATATAATAAAAATATAGATTAAGTGGGTAGATCCTATTTAAATTTCTACTGGAAGTGTAATATAAATTTGAGTTTGATTAATTTCAGGTCTATGATGAGATAATAATTACATTTTAGCTACCTTATTTCTTTGTTAGCTAAAATTTTGACAAAATCATCAAAATTTATACGAAAATTTCAAGATAAATTCCTCCTTAAATTCCAGGTAATATTATATCATTCAATATTTAGATGGAGCATTATTCTTATTGTCAGCTGGTCAAGTAACTTCAACTGCTTTAACAGGAGTTGTATCTATTAATATTATTCTAACTATGGTAATGGGATTATCTTTGAAAAATCTTTGGCTGCTTTTGAATACTCTACAAATAATGGTTCATGTGTCATTACTTAACATCCCTCTACCGTCAAATACTATTTTTATGTTTAAGCAAGTGATAGAGATTTCTAAGATGAATATTTTGCCTAAGGCTTATATAAAAGATTTATTTATATCTTTTCACGATAGCACCACTAAATCAATTGAAGGAAACTTTAATACTCTGGATATCTTTTATGGATTTTAAAAATTTTTTAGTGATATTTATTAACTTATAACGTTATGAAAACAATGTTCTTTTAGAAAATCTTGGAACATTATTTATAGCATTAATTTTCCTGATCATTATAGGCAGTTTTATTTTGCTTTTGAAAGCTTATTTCATTAAAATACTCGTGTAATTTTCTATAGTGTTTATAATTATTAAGGTTTCAAAAGTTATTAGTTGCTGTTAAGAAAAAAATATTCTACAACTCATTAATTAGAGTATATTTAAAAGGTTATTTGGGATTTTCCGTTTCTACTTTATTGACTCTGACTACTTGTGAATAATATAGTTAAAATCTTTTCTTTGCTTTTGTTATGAGCTTTACAATTTTAGGATCCCCAATTGTAATTTATTCATTCTTATCAACTAACTTTGAAAAAATGAAAGAC